AGTGCTCTGAATTCTGGATAATACAATCTCTTTAACGAGGCTAACTTTAGAAATTATTCTTAAGTGGAATGAATAAGGCCATCTCAAAAAATTTTGGTTCACTTGTGATATTATGATACACAATCCAACAACACTGTGTAGTGTAGAATAACAGAGGTTCCGTTTATTATGAAAAAAAGAAAATCCAACCATAACTCTCTTTACTAGTGCACAATGAGTTTATTAGTTTAAATTCCTTGACCCAGGAAACTAAAGTTTAAAAACAAAGCAGAAGCCACTGCTTTCCACCCGTTTTTGCTTCTTCTTCTCATGTGGAGGTGATGTCCACACACAGGAGCTGATTTGGAAGGGCCAATCAGTTTCACACGGATCAACAGTTTGCCATAGAAACACACGGCTTTAGATAAGACCAAAAAATCAAAAGAAGGAATGATTTGTTGGGATGTGGAGAAGGGAGAGTCTGAGAAAACAAAATCATTCTTTCTCCTGATCATGGCCCTTATGAAGTTCTTTGACTCAGTAAACTCTTCTTGGTTTTGATACAGATTAGCTAGGTTGAAATGACCGATGATTTACTGTGTATTTACCATGATGTTTTCATAGACCATTTATTAAACTAGGTCACTTACTTTTCAGAAAACAAGCCATAAGGAAAACAGAAGAAAATGAATCCTTTTCATAATTTCTTAGAAATTACTTTGCTCAGACTTTAGAAAAATGTTCATTCTTGGGAGGCAGATAAATGACTTCAAAGTGAGACTTGGTAATATACAGGATATTTTTAAACATCACAGCTTTTCTAAGTTTACTTTTGCATCATGCAAACCATGATTCATCTGTTAAGTTCACTTCTAAGGCTTCAAAACTCTCATCAGATATTTTTAAAAAGAGAATTCTGGGGGGATCTGGGCAGGACAAAAGGGAACTGGATTGGTTCGTGTGTTCATTCATTCATCTATTTGTTAATTCAGCAAATGTTTATTTAGCATCTACTAAGTGCTTAGCACTGTGCTAGGTGTTGACATTATAAAAATGAATAAAACTTGGTTTCTTCTTTTGGGAAGCATATGTGTAAGCAACTGAGTTCTGTTTCTCCAGCCTGGTCATTCCTCAGTGAAAGAAAGAGAAGAAGATGAAGGAAAGTACGTGAAAAGAACCTCCACGTCATTGCAGGGAAATGCAAACAAAAACCACAATGAGATGCCATTTCACACTCAGTAGGATGGTTTCAACAAGAATGACAGACAATAACAAGTGTTGGTGAGGATGTGTACTCATGTGCTTGTGTGTGCATATAGACACTGACTTACAGAGCACAAAGTAACTTTTAAACAACAAAGAAACCCAATTATTAAGACAATTATCTTCCTGGTAAAGGCAGATGGAATATACATATTGATGTTGTCAGGAAAGATACATCTTGACCTGTTATACCTAGAGCTTACATATAGTTGATCCAACAGACTAAAGACTTGAATTCTTGGTATCAAGTGCAGAATGCAGGGATAAGGGAGAAAGATGCACAGGTGATTTCCCTCTAGTTGCATGTATGGGAACCATTTGTAACACAGTTGGACACCATGTTGCTTGTGGGACATGCCTTGGGAGGGACCTCGACATAGTGTCTAGTGATTTCCCTCTAGTTGCATGTATGGGAACCATTTGTAACACAGTTGGACACCATGTTGCTGTGGGACATGCCTTGGGAGGGACCTCGACATAGTGTCTAAGAACATTACCAAGTTGGGAAGATGCAGGCAACTCACTGTCACCTTACCATCCCTCACCCTACCTCAGCAGACCTGCAGGCTTTCTCTTTTGGCATCGGCAATTGGACATTGAAGATTTTCTCCTCTCTGTAGCTCAACTATTTATGTAGATGGTCAAACTGTTTGACCTTTAAGGCTCTTGTGAACCCTGGAATCCAACTATAATTCAATCAGTGAGTGGAGTGGGCTTCCTGCATTTTCTGACTGCTAGGATGATAGGTGGTTTGCTTTACTCTCTTATTTCTCCTAGATTATCCTCTTGGTGGGTGGAGGTGATTAAATGTCTTCAGTTAAATAATCAAACCATCTACAGACACATCTCCTTAAGTTGTGGCAGATGCTTACATGAGCATACTATTGCAACCCACCCACTGCTTTCTTTTCTCTAAAATATTAACTCTGAGCCATTTTATTTATCCAGAAGAGTCACTACAGGCAATGATACATCTATCATTATGCCCAAGTCCATTGTTTATCATTAAATAACTTCCATCAGGGAATAACATCCCACACATAATGACTAGGTAGCAGGGGATTCTCTTAAGGTTGCGGAATATACTTGACAAGATCACGTGCTAACCAATTCTCCTAGTGAACTTAATCATTTCTTGCGGTTTTATTTTGGTGTCCCCATTTTCTTCCTTTTTTACACTCACTAAATGAGTCACATGCTGGCCAATATGCCCCACTGGGGAAAATGCACTTACAGCATTCATTCTGTGGCCAGGAGTGGACACTAATGACTGTCATAATATCAGTGTTGGGTTCTGTCTAGAAACAAATACAAGAAACATAATCCTGAAAGCTACACTGTCCATCTTAGAAACTGCATGTGCAAGGTGTCCCAGGTGACTGCTAAAGAAGCCTGGTTAATAACCCTCCAGAAGACAATTAAGACCCTTGACAACATGTGATAGTTCAAGGATGATATATTTTCCCCAGCTCTTATTTGCTCAGATGCGTTATTTTTCATACCAATAAACTATGCTGCCACTTTATCAAGCATATTTTTATGAAAGCAAACTCCATCTGTTTGTTCAACAAAAGACTTGGAGATTGTTTTACTTGACATTTGGCAATGTCTGATTAATTACTAAGTATTCTCTTGCATATAAAATAGGTTGACATGGTAAAATATTGCTAACTTTTCCAAACTTTTCTTTGGTAACAACTTAAAGATATAATTCATGTACCATACAACTAATGGCTTCTAATATATGCATAGGGTTGTGAAACTATCACCAAAATCAATTTTAGAACATTTTTATAATTCCCCCCCAAACCCCATACCTTTAGAAGTCACCCTGCTTCATTCTTCCATCCCCTCCACCCTCTCAGCCTTGGGCAACCATCAATCTACTTTGCCTATTGTGGACATTTTGTGCAAATGGAATCACAAATATGTGGTCTTTTGTGACTGTTTTTTAACTTATAATGTTTTCAAGGTTCATTCACGTTGCAGCTAACACTATTTAAAAAAATTTGATTCTCAGAGGTACTTGGTGTGAGGAAGGGGAGAGTTTTATATATTTGCACTGTAGATCATGAAACACGTACTAAGCTTGGCTTCTTGGTTTACATCAGACTTAATGCTTTCTCCTTTATGACTAAAATCAGAAGACTGGCTAACTGAATTCTTTT